ACCCAACCCCACCTCCACAAAAAAATCCTTCTCTTTTGCTGATTTTTCAAATTCATCACCCACAAATTTTCTTTTTCACCATACATCATTCTTATAGAACCTCTTGCACCTACCCAGACCTAAACCCCAACCATGCTATCGAAGAGACAATTGTTGGAGACCTTTTTGAGAGGAAATGCCACAATATCATTTTTGAGAAATCTGCAAAAAGATGTCTGAAAACCTTTTACAGAGGATGTGTGGAGAGGAGGCAATACTGAAGAGTCATTCGTAGCCACAACAGTAACTTGCCAAATCAAAAGAGCACAGTGAATCACTTATATTGGACAAATTTCAGAGATGAGGAATCACTATCACGAAGATTTGACATGAAATATTAGATAAACCAAAGTGAGAGCCTGGGCTTCATCTTCATTCGTATGTTGGTGGATATTATCATTATCCACATTTTAATATGTTTAGAATAGGTTAACTAATCTTAAGATCAAATTAGGTTTGTACTATTATATGGATATATTGATGGCTGACTCAACTGAAGCTGATGTGCAACTTATCCTATTAAAAAATAATGAATGATTATTCGGACTATAACAAGGCAGGGATATAATTGTAAATCATTTTCTTGGTTGTTTTTAATCTTTTTTGATCGATATGAAGAAAGATTTTTTCAGTTTTTTTCAAATTTTGTTGAACGATGGATTCAGTTTGATGATGGTACTCCATGGCAACTTGTTTTTAAAATATCGAGACTTGCATGTTAGTTAGCGAGTTGTGAGAAAAAAATGGAGTACATATTATCAAGTTCATAGAAAAAGTAGAAATCATTTGAGCATCTTAAGATGAACTTATCGGTTTATATTATATAAAATAAGAAATTAAACTTTAGAAATTTGATGATAAAAGTTTTAAAGAATAATGAAGACTCCTATGTAAAAATGCACAATTAGACAATGAAAAATATGGATAATGATAATGAAACAACACCGTTGATTTACAAATAGAGGATCATAATGTTGATTTTTTGATGGGGACACTAGTATGAAATTCACATACATTTACATATGTACAAGTCAATTCCTATGAATATACATTTCTAACACCTAAATTTTATTTTTATATTTATAACATCTAAATCTTTCATATGGCATTAAAATTTTTACTGTTTTAAAATTTAAAAAGTGAAATACACTTTTCTTTTCATAGGTAAAGTGCCATTTATGTAAATTAAATTTAGCTGTTAGATATATAAATACATAAGAATTGAAATACATAGGAATTGGGTGGTATGTATCTAAATCTTTCTGAAAAGTAGCTATCCATAAAACTTATATAATTGAAAATCCAGCCATTAGTATAATCATAATTTTAAAATCAAATTATTATTTTAATAGACTAGCATTGACTTAACGAAGAAGGAGATGATCGAGGCTGAGTCTGAGGAACGAAAGAACATAAGATACAATTGAGAATGAGGCAAGAGATAAAGTAATACGTTGTAATGAATACCCATTAAGTGATGAAAATGTTAAAGATTTTTGAATTTTGTAATTCTATTCTTTATTTCTTGCTAAATTCTTACTTAAATTGAGGACAATATACAACAACAACAACAAAGCCTTAATCCCACTACGTGGGGTCGGCTACATGAATCCTTTTTCTCCATTGCGTTCTGTTTAGTGCCATATTTTCATTTAGTTCTAGTAAATTAAGATCATTTTTAATACAATAAGCCCAAGTCTTCCTAGGTCTACCTCTGCCTTTCT